CCCCTCTACCGCCCAAAACAAGTTCACCGCCCCTCAGCATCCTCCCACCGCCCCCCGGGGGCCAGTGCCGCCCCCGTTGAGAACCAATGGTTTAGAGCTTTGCAGGTAAATATCAACCCATTGAATTGTGCCCAGAAGGAAACTGGCAGCCAGTACAGATGTTACAGTACAGGAATCTTAGGCTCCATGTATCTCACACTGTTCAGTAGCCTAGATGCTATATTTTGCATCAATTGCATTTTCTAGACACTTTTCAAGAGTAGCCTCATGTTTAACACATTACAGTAGTAAAGGTAAGTGCAGCATGAACTATTGTTAAGTCGTTTGCTCAGGAAAAGTCACAGTTGTGAATTGTGGAAACACATTCCTTGCATACCTGCAATTTGCCACTAGTGACAGTTGAGAACCAAGGAGCAAATAATGAACCTGATCTTTTTGAGGAATTATAATCCCATCTAGAGCAAGCTTCACCTCAGTGCCAGTTTCTTCCTGTGAGGTAGGTAAGGCTAAGAAAGTGACTGGTCCCAAATCACCCAGTGGGCTTCCATAGCTGAGAGTGGTTGTAGTACATCTTAATCACTATGCCACAATGTATCTCAGTTTATTTTTCAGTTCTGAAGCAAGTCCTCACCATATATTCCGATTATAAACATATTTCTCCAATAAGTATAGATGCTAAGCTGCTAACAGCTATCTTTGTTCATAGACTACAGCTTGGTCTTCTGACTATCCAGATTTATATGTGGCCAACAACTGATGTCATTATTTTAAATCAAAAGAGACAGAATCCATGTTTTCCTTGGAGGAGGCTCTTGATATGGTTTCTTGTACATTTCTGAACTTGAGTTTTGCATATTGCAGGTTCCCCAAGTTTATACTCTGGATAAACATGTTCAATACAACCCCAAGTCCATGTGTTAATAAATTGTGTGCTTTGTTGTATTATAAAAGATCATGGTAAACATCAAACTTATGGTAAAATCTCTTTTTTAAAAAAAATGCTTGTAAACTCTATTAGACATTGTGAAAATATTAAAGGGATAGTTGTAAAAGAAGAGTATTCAATTCTACTATATGTGGATGATATGCATTGTTTTACAGAAAAACCAGGATATTAATTCCTCATATTGTTAATATGAGAGTTTGGATGAAACTAATTATATAAATTGGAGGAAATCATAGTTAACACCACTGAGTATCAGTATTAATTTTGACATATGGAAGTTCAGATTGTGATCTAATTTCTTTGTTTATCCTTTTTATAGAGGAAAGCTTTCCCAACCGACAAATGTAAATGTATCTCCAATTTTGACATATAAATGAAATCACATCTAGTTACATACCTTTATGAGAGAGAAAAAAATCCCTTCACTGTCCTCCACTTTGTGCAAAAACAAGGTTGTAAGCTATACTGATGGCTGAAATGAGGGAATGGGGTGATAAGTTTTAAACAATGCATTCAGACAATACCAGGAATAACAGGAAGTTGAAAATTGCAGGGAAGAGAAGTGTGAAGTTTCCTTTGGTTGGCAAGGTAAAAATGTCAAGAATAGATTTTCAAGATACAAAAGCTCATATAAGTAGGTTTGTTGCAGAAAAGTTATGAAGCCAGTACAAAAAATTTCCAACAGGTACCATATATGAAATCCAAGCCCTATTTATAGTGAAATCAAAGTTAAAATGTTTGCACTTTCCTCCACCCAAGTGATGCATTAGGCTAGGCAACCTTGTCTTTTAGGCAGGAGGCGTAGTTTCTATCTGTCTCGTCTTGTATTAGGTTGTAGTGTTTGACTATGTGAGAACTATTTATCCCAGAGAGAGAAAAATGCCCCTGAAGCAAGTAAATGCAGTGCAAATAAATAATATTTTCAGGAGCATTACCTTTTCATTTCTAATGTTCTATTTCAAAAGAACTATAAATAATAGTAGGCACATTCTAGAGTTAAAGAAGTAAAAAAAATATTTTTCCTATGTAAATCGCTTAGAATTTGTAGAAAGAAAATCCACTATTTTGGCAAAGTATTTTGTGAATCATTTTACCTTTGTGGTCATTTGGCATTCCTTTATTTAGCATCATTTGTTGTTTTTGAATTCTTTTCTATTCCTTTATCCTTGTCTTGTCTTCTCTTGTCTGATACATGCTATAAGCCAGTACATAAGACCCATGACGTGTGAAAGGGCTAGAATTGACAAAAATACACCCAATTTGTTGTAGAGTTCACTAAAATCTGTATGCTTACATATGCAGGAAATTTGAACAATGATCTGTGATACTGTTGAGGACTTGTTTCATTTAAAATTCCATGATTCCAGTAGGAAAAGTTCACTTTCTAGATGAGGTTATGGGGAAACAGAAAACAAGCATAAGAAGATTGGCAGACTAGATGTTCCTGAAGGAGTGGGGATCGCATTGCGGCAGAGATCAGCAGCCAGACAGTGAATTCGGGCCATACAGTCTTTCTGGACAAGGAGAGATCGTGAGATTGCCCTCTTGCACTCCGGACAGCTGCTCCTCATGAAGAGACTACAGTAACTAAGGTTTTTTAGTGAGTTGAGCAGCTGGGAATCAAGAGATTTCAATCAAGCTCACAGCCATAATGAAGCCTATATGGACACAAGGTTCGCAAAAGCCTCACTTTCTTAAACACTTTCAGATGTAATCAATTCATAGCTAAAGAGACATTTTCTGAGTGGTAGGATAAGAGAAATCCACTTGATGAATCAACATTCTTTTTGGATTATAAAAGAAAAAGAAGGGGGGGGGCTTCATAGTTTTAAAAGCTTTTAGCAAAAGGCTTAACAGGGATTGCATGTAAGAAAGTTTAAAACAGATAAAGGGGATAGTAATTTTGAAAGATTAATTTTTGGTGGAAGTGCTTTTGAACAAACTGGAATTAAAATAGACAAATGGACTGGACCTTCATGGGAATGTTATTTGTTTACTATTAAAGAATGCAGACAATTGGTGGATTTTACAAAACAAAGATAAAGGTAATATGAGCCAGACTGTGATGCTGACTGTAACCATGGAGTGCCATTTGAGATGAAAATATTAAGGGTGCAGGAAGACAAAACAGAAAAAAAGGGAAAGCTTCCCTTTTACTCTTTCCCTTGTAATTGAGACACTTTCACTTTTGGATTACAATATCACAGTGGCAACACCAAAAAAGTAGCAAAAACAGCAGAGGGAAGAAGAGGATTGCTAGAGCAATCTGCAGAGAGAGGAATTACACCAGATTTGCCTCAGAAAATGTTTGAGGAAGTAGGCAATAAGTTGTCTGAATCATTTGATACTAAATTGACAGATTTTGAAAAAAGAGTGGATGAAAGACTTGTAAAGATGAAAGAGAAGATAAACAAAAAGCAAAAACACCTCCCCCCCCATTTTGTTAAGGCAAAGTCAGTGAGATTAAAAAGCAAAAAGAGTACAATTTGTAACAACTAGTTAGCTAAAATGTGATCAAGATAAACATATTGATCATTGCAACACAATGAAAAAGCAATCAAAGAGCTTGTGGCCCCTTAAACCTATACAACGCTTTTCTTCCTATTGATTTACAGTAGAGCGCTTCTCATTGTCATCCAACCATCGCTGTGCCAATATAACAGCAACTAAGACAGACGGTTGAATCGCCTTACTGATGGTTGCGTGAGGATAGCTGCAAAGCATTAGGCGAGGATGTGTGAACTTACTCATTGTGCTACCTACAGCCCAGGAAGCCTTGACCAAGCGTTAGGTCCGCTTAGAGCTGCTCCGCCGATTTAAACTCCTGAGGCGGGAACGATTGCCCGTAATAGCCAATCGCCATACAGTCATATCTTGAAGGGCACTTTCTTCGCCCGGTCACATTGCAGCCGATTACACATGTTTGTTCCCGCTGGTTGAGGCCTTGTGGCGCGCTTTTCCGAAGTTTCCCGTCAGTCCGGCCTCCTGAGCTCAGCGAGGTCTTTTCCGGGCCGCTGGAGCGGAGGGCATTCAGTCTCCCAGTTTCGGTTCTCGGACTCCTGCCGGCTCCCAGGCGCGAAAAACAGGCGAGGCCGATTCCTTCTCTACGTAGGCGGGCAGTTTGCCCTCCAGGGTCGCTGTCCCGTTGCTCCGAGCGGAGAGCCTTGACTGAGCGGGCTTGTGGCGGAGGGAGGTCGGAAGGAAAATAATCCTAGTTGTGTGTGTGTGTGCTAAGATTCTTCATGTGCTTTTTAAACTGCTGCTCCCCCTTCGCTTGACAGAAGGCCTTCGTGAGGCAGGCACCTTCCTCTCGGTGGGGAGTAATCTTGCTCTTTCCCTCTTGCTTACGGGGCCCGGGCGGCTCCTGGGGGCAACAGTTAAGCTCTCCTGGTCCCTCGTTTCCGTGAGCGCACACGCTGCGGAGGGAGAGGGAAAATGGAGGGCGCCAGCCCTGACCATGAATGCTTGGGCTATTAAAGGATTTCGCTAACATGATGCTGTTCATAAATGTAGGATTACAAGTTCCATCGTTCCCAAACTTCAAAGACACAGAGTGTGTCAGTTCAGTCAAGCTACAGAAACTTCAATCTCTTCAGTTGCTCCACTTGTTTTACCGTTTCAGTTTTACCCAACTGAAGAGACTGGGCAGGAGTAAAGGTGCCACCGTTTCACATCTGAAACATCCATTTTTCTGTGTCCTACTCGAGGCCAGTTAAGTTGCTTTTCTGCATATTAGCTGTTAAAGTCATAAACAGTAAATGGCCTACTGTTTAAGTAGTTTCTGTCTAAAATCAGGGGACTTAATTTATTGTATTGAGCCATGAAGAATACATGCATTAAAATACCAGAAATCAGACATTCACCTTATTTCACTGAACCTGAAAAAGACTTCCTAATGTTTTTATAAAAGATACTATTGGTCTAATATACTATGGCTTTGAAATACTGCACTGTGTTTTGTTCTACTTCAGTATTTAGTGATTTCTACACAGACATATAGAATTTGTAAAAGTTTAGCCATAATTACATCTATTTAAACATTTAGTGCTCTAAAATATAGTTACTGCTAATCAGTAGAAATTCTTTTGACAACTTATCCATGGGTATAATTATTGTGAAGTCTGGATTAGCATTTTCAAATTTAAAAAATCCTTTATTTTAATTGATCTGTACATCCTGTGTCATCCCTTAAAGAACCTACTTATACTGTGCTGTAATTATTAAGGATTACTGCAAGATTTGTGAAATCATAGGAGGGGAGCTGGGTTAGTCCATAGTAGCCAAAAATCAGAAAGAGTCTGATAGTACCTTCTAAGACTAACACATTTTATTATAGGGCATAAGCTTTTGTGAACTGCAACATCTGATTAAGTGAGCTGCTGCTCATGAAAGTTTATGCCTTATGCTAAAATTTCTGATTTTGGGAAGATTTATGGGTACTGAAAAGAGAAGAACTAAATGATGTGGGTTTTTTTCTTACACCATTGCAGTGCAATGCAAAGGGCTTCACGGCTGAAGAGAGAGCTGCAGTTACTGACCACAGAGCCACCACCAGGTATTACCTGCTGGCAGAATGGAAATCACATAAATGAACTTCGAGCCCGTATGTATATAAATATATACACACAAAATATTAGATTTTATTTATTTTTAGGTTGCAGTTGCAATTACCTTTTTAATGTGGGTTGCTTACAAGCCATATTTTTTAAAGGTCTAGCATCATTGTGTGAACGTACATTTCCTTTCATGCTTCTTAGACTCATACAGCATAGAATGCAAAGATTGGAAGGGACCTTGGAGATAATCTGGTCAAACTCCCTGCCTAGTACAGAAGCTACTACAATGGGCATCCCCAATGGATGATCATCTAGCCTCCAGCAAGAAAGATCCCATCACCTTTTAAGGCAGACTGTTCCATTGTTGAATAGCTTTTACCATTAGAAATTTATTTTATGTCCAAGTGAAATCTACTTCTGCATAATTTAAACTTACTATTTCATGTCCTGTCTTCTGGAATAACTTTGGACAATTCTGTCCTACCTTCTAAATGATAGCCCTTCAGATATTTGAAGACAGTTCTTATGTCTCTCTATAGTCTTCTCTAGGCTAAACATGCCCAACATCTGCAAGTTTTCCTCATACGTGTTTTCTTCATGAACCCTTATCATCTTGATGGCTGTCCTCTGTACTCTGACCCAATGATCTGCCTAATATCCAGTGCCATAAATGAATGCAATATTCTAGGTGTGGAACCATGACTTCTCTTGATCTTACATTTATGTTGCTGTGGTCTATAATTGCTTCTTTTGCAGTGCATCACATTGTTGACTCAGGTTCAGCTTGTGATACACCCAGATCCTTTTTCATGTAATGCTGCCCAGTATAATACCCCTTTCTTATATTCATGCCTTTGATTTTTTTTTTTAATCTAAATATAGGACTTTGCATTTGTCCCTGCTGAAATTCCTCTTGATAGTTTCTATCTGTTGTTTAGGATTTTATGTCTTAACAATTGTAATGATTGACATAGGTTGTATGGGGCCTTATTTTAGCTTGTCAAAATCCTCCTGACCTGTAATATTGTCCTATAAGATGCTTGCTATTCTTTTATCTTTCTGTCATCTGAATTTGATAAGCATATTTTCTAACCCCTCATCCAAGTCATTTATATATTCTTGTTTTCCTTTTGGTACCACATGAGGTAATTGAAGTTTTCAGTATATGTCCCTTGAACAAATGTGCAAATTATTGTAGCAAATTACTTTGCAAGAAAATAAGGCCTCATATAACCTATGTCAATCATTACAATTGTTAAGACATAAAATCTCTATGCTTTGTGTTATTACGTTAAAAATCAAGAATAAACCTCTGGTTTTCAGTGTCCTTATATGAAAGGATTATTTATTTAAAATTAAACCTATATTTCTTTGAGAGTATTTCAGACTGTAGGATGGAGAGGTAAGCATCACTAAATCACTGTAGGATGGAGAGGTAAGCATCCAGTGATCTCCAGGAGCAAGTGAGAATGATACTGGGCAAAATAACTTTTTGACTGAAATAAAAGAATTTGCATTTTGGTAAAATCATATATGTTTGTAATTTGAGAGTAACATATTACAGAGTTCTAATAGATGAGGGTAAAAAGCTGACATTCTGTGTTCTGATGGTTGAGTTTGTTTTGAATGATGATAGTTACCAATTGCAGGGCTAAAAAACAGCTATGGCATGTGGAAGAGATTGACACTGACTATTGCTTAGTGCCAGTCATCTGTAGATTTATAAATGGGGCTATATGAATTTCTCATTTTATTGTATGATCTTGAATTATGCAGTTAATTGGTGTTTTTAAATATGTGCTTATTTTGCATAGTTTATTCTTCTCTTCCCTTGAATAACTCTTTCATGCCCTGCCTTACTGGAAAGCTTCTTAGGGTTATGTAGGTCTTTGATGTGATTCCAACAGGGTGCTTCAGAGCACATGGTGGTAGGAATACAGAGCCTGATTGCTTTTTAAAGCCATCACATCTTTTCTTGTGTGTGCTGCTGTGTACTGTGAAGCTCTGCCTTACTGGAAAGCTTGTTAAGGTTATGCAGGTCTTTGGATTTGATTCTCAAAGGGTGCTTCAGAGCACATGGTGGTAGGAATACAGAGCCTGATTGCTTTTTAAAGCCATCACATCTTTTCTTGTGTGTGCTGCTGTGTACTGTGAAGCTCTGCCTTACTGGAAAGCTTGTTAGGGTTATGCAGGTCTTTGGATTTGATTCTCAAAGGGTGCTTCAGAGCACATGGTGGTAGGAATACAGAGCCTGATTGCTTTTTAAAGCCATCACATCTTTTCTTGTGTGTGCTGCTGTGTACTGTGAAGCTCTGCCTTACTGGAAAGCTTGTTAAGGTTATGCAGGTCTTTGGATTTGATTCTCAAAGGGTGCTTCAGAGCACATGGTGGTAGGAATACAGAGCCTGATTGCTTTTTAAAGCCATCACATCTTTTCCTGTGTATGCCGCTGTGTACTATGAAGCAACTTTTTGCAACTGAATCTAAGGCACGCACAGTCTTAAAGCTTATATTTATGTATCTTTGAACTTTATATTCCCAGATTTCTCTATTTAGTAATAGCTAATAATACATTATAAACAATAAACTTAAAATATATTCAAGAACAATCCCAATAATCTTAAAACATAAAAAGAAACCAGTAGCTGTCAGAATTTACTTCTCATTTCAGAAAGTAATTAAAGTTTTAATAATTAAAACAGACACACGTCTCTGTTTTCTGAGATTTCTAGTTCATTTCCCATAAGTTTCAATCCTTTTTACATACAAACATCTGTTCTTATGAATCTGTTTATCATGGTTCTATTTATACTTAAGGGATTTGAGCACATACGATTTTCTCCTATTCTGCCCTTCCCTCCCTCCCCATTTATCCTCACAATAAAGGAACCTGCATTGCTAATGTAGGAGAAAGATGTGTGTCTGTGTATTTCTGTGTGTATGTGTAATGTAAAAGATAAAAAACCTTTGATCATTTTATAATAGGAAATAGAAGAGTTCCTCATTTTTCAAATACAGTGATACCTCGGGATACGAACACCTCTGCTTGCGAATTTTTCGGGTTACGACCAGCTCCGGCCC